TTATCGCAAGCTATTTGTTTTGCCAGAGTACCAACCACCACTTCAAGTCTTATGTTCCCTCATCTCTTGTTTGCTTCTGCTTTGCCAGGGAGACTGCTGCTCTTACGTGACTCCTGGTGGCCCCACGGGTAGCTGACAGTGAGATGGGGGGGGGGGCAGTGGGTAAAAGATGTCGCCAAGAAAATCAAACAACCTGAGGCCTGTTGTTTATCCACTTGCTGCTTGCGATTTGGCATTTTTACTGACTCTGTTGGAACCCCTCCCTACAAGGCGTATGGGCTAGACAGCAGACAATTAATTCTCTTATTATAGAATCCTCGATATGACAAATATTAATTCCTTCAGCTGTGCACTCAGCTACAGGAAAAGAAGAACACGCTGAAAAGCACTCATACAGGCCCGTTTTAAGAGAATGCAGCAATGAGGGCTGGGGCACCGTTTCAAGGAGCAGAAGGCCACGTGTGCACGAGCTCACGTCGGTTTGCTGCCCTGCTCCGAACACCTGCTGTCGCTGTTTTCTCCCTTCTCCCACCGTGGCTGGTTTATGCCACTTTCGAAAATTCAGGACTTGGGGGAGGAGTGAAAATAGATGTATTTGTTCAATCCACCATCTTCCCAGAATCCACTATTTAATTACCTTCTCTCTTCAGTTTTGGCTTCACACACACAAATGGATTTACATAATTTATATGCTCACATGCTTTGTCCTTCCAAGGATTATAGTAATAGTTGAGAATCTTATAGTTTACAATTATTTTCTCACTCTTCATCTTACTTGGGTTTCACTCTGACCTAGTAAGGTAGAAACTATTAGTCTTCATGGTTAAGCATGAGGACCCTAAGGTTAGAGAGGCTGAGTCCTATCCAAGTTCCATCAATTGTTAAGGAGCTGAGACAAGACTCAAAAGCAGATTTCCTGGCTCCATATTGGACTTTTATATTGTCACCTGCATTATATTGTCAGGCCTTTTTGGGGAACACTTTCTGTAATCAGCCAGCAGTGGACGGCTTTGCTAAGAGGGTCCTCCTGATGAATAGCCGAAATCTGCCTCTTCTTCCCAGTACAAGGCTTTTAACTCTGTGTCTTTAGCTGTCATTGGGGTGTAGGTGAAGAGGAGAGGGGTTGTGAAAGTTAACTCTGAGTCTAGGGTGTTGGATGGGTGTTGAAGTTGCCCTTGGTGATATTAGGGTATAAGTGACATGCCAACATTCTCAAAGAATGATGATAGTGACTAAAAGGAGATTGGTAGATGACAGCAACAAGGTCTGAGGCTCAAAGGAGGAAGAAATTGTGCCTATAGGTAGATGGCAGACATGAAGCGAGAAGATTGGAGAAGGCTGCTCTCACCTCCTAACCATAGAATTAGGTCCTAATAAAACCCAGATAATCAGATAAGACAAGGAGCTAGAGGAAGCAATGGGTACATATAGGTTGAAGAACTGGAAGTGTCCATTATAAGGGAATGAGGTTACACAAGACAAGGAGCTAGAGGAAGCAATGGGTACATATAGGTTGAAGAACTGGAAGTGTCCATTATAAGGGAAGGAGGTTACACAAGGTAAAATGGAAAGAATTGTGATGAGTTACCGAAAGGCAGAGTTGGGAAAAAGTAAGCTCAGAACAATTCAAGGATGTGTATATGACCTTGAGTCCATCACAAAGCACGCAATTCCTCCCCGTGACCTGCTGCTCAGGCAGTTGAAGGTAATACCAAGACAGCCCGGGCTGACTTCTGTCTCTCCCCTCTCCGATGGAAGCGACCCCGTGGGGAGAGACTGTGTCCGCACCTGGAGCATGCCCTGGCTTGCCGCGTGGCCCACAGGGCTCTTTCTTGTCCGTCATTGCCAAAGGCACTGGGTGAAGGATTTGGTCTGAAGCCAAAGCAAATAGCAGCTGAGAGACGCACAACAGTTGGCGTCTGGCTCAGATGCCTCTGGCGCCTTGCTAGACAAACGCTGCTCCCCCAAGAAGCCTGCCCGACTCGATGAAAACTACAGCTACCATTTGGGCGGTGCTTTGGGGTTGCATAGGCACTTTCACGTGTAGTGTCTCCTCCCATCCTCCCAGCCGTGCTGGTAGTAAGTTTTATGATTCTCATTTTACAGATAAAGAAACTTCCAGCTTTGTTTCTTATAAACGAGTGCCACTAAGTCCTTAACTCTCTGTGAACATCAGCTTTCTTAGTAATAAAATGGGAATGAGATTTATGACAAAGTTGTTTGGAGAATTAAATAGGATTATGTGTGCATAACACATGTTTGCACACAGTTGGCGTCCCATAAATGTTCAGTCTATATTTCTGCTTAGATGGTTTACCCCAGTTTACTCAGCCAAAGAAAGCCAGATCGGAGTTGCCATCTGTGCTTGCCACCGAGGAGCAGGCCTCCCTAGAGGGAGAGAGGATAATTTTTAACTAAGTAGCTCTGGCAACTGTGATAAATGATAAGGATGGCCTCAGCAATTTCTTCCATCTCTAGGTGCATGTTTCTTTACAATGTGAAATTGTCATCCTTCCAATAAAAGGAGGAGTCTCTTTTCCCTCCCCCTTGAATCTGGGCTGTCACTGTGACTTGCTTTGATCAATAGAATGTGGTAGGAGTGACATTGGCCCTTGAGTGTCAACTCCCACCGTCTTGATGCCCTGTGACTCCTGTGTAAGGAAAGCCAGGCTGGTCTCTGAGGATGTGGGGTCAGAGGGAGAGAGAGTTCCAGGCACCCCAGTAGTTGAAGCCATCATTACCGAGGCACCAGACATGGGGCTGAGACCAGGTGGACCAGTCAGCCCCTTAGTTGGTATTTGCCCCACCCCCACACCTGCCAACTGGTAGCAGCCTAAGTGACCCCAGGTGACACCAGCAGAGGAACTGCCCACTTGAGCCTGGCCCAAATTAAAGAATCATGAACCAATACATGATCTTTGTTTCAGGTCACTGAATTTTGGGGTACATTGTTATGCAGAAATAGATAACTGATACATTGTTATAATGTGTCAGTGAGATAACCAGAGACACACCGCCAAATTGTAGAGTGCTTTATTCTTCCTGGGAGACTGCGGGGGGCATTGTCTCCCCTCAGATCAGCAACCACAATTCTTCTTGCTTGTCCAATTTTAAAGACAGAAGCCCCATCCTCCTTTTGCTCCCTCCTCAGAGGACCAGTACAATAGAGGGTGTGACAGCGATTACAGAAGTCAGAATTAGCATTATTCACCGGCCCACGAGTACCTGCAAATGTCTGCAATTACTGATACTGGAAACTGCAAATGCCTCCCAACACGTGGGGCAGCTATAATCTTAGGCACAACTCCTTTACTTCTAGGGGTGATTAACCTATTATTGGAAAAATACTGAGGAAGGTCCACTGATGATAAAAATGGAGTCGCCTTAGCCAGGGGGCCCAGGTCAACGTGACCAAGATTGCATAGCTACTGAAATCAGGCACCAAAGGAACTCATGACATCATCTTTCTCCTTTAAAGTATGTTTGATTCTTTACCATCTAGTCATCTTGTGGACTAAATATAGAACTTGAAACTTCTTTGCATAAATAGTCTGGTCTTCTATCCAGGGGCTTCAAGCTCAGAGTCTCATTGAGTCCCACCTTAAGGACCAGACTACATATGTCTGATGGAGGGTCTTGGGAATATTCCCAACGTCATGCTAGTAGTCTGCAGTCGAGCTTGGCCCAAATCTCTCAGTCCTCGGCACCTACCAATCTCTTGAGTATGCAGTGAGAGCATGCTCACCTCATCATCATCTGATCAGCATCTCAGAGACCTCTAAGTTGTTCTGGAGCAAACAATGCTTAGAAAAGGGAATACAGAAGCAGGGAGGACAGAAACAAGATAATCAGGGTAAGCTGAGCTGACTACTCCAGCCCTGACTCTGTCTGGGTCAACTTGAATATTTCAGAAGAGCTTTGGTCTGAAGGGGCTGAGACAATCCCTGAAGAACTTCACAACCAAAGTGAAACATACAGAGTAGACTGTCCTTCTCTGAGTAGAAAAAGTCAGGATGTACTTTTCAGGTGATCGGGTAGTTCCTATCCTCAATTTGCCTGTGGACAAGGGAGAAGACTGCAGTGACTTCGTGCAGTGGAGAACAGACCACGGGCCTGTGGGGAGTGGGAAAATGCTAATAAAACATCCAGCAGCTGATCTGCTTGATTTTGAGTAAAGTGAGCTTAATGTGGATGACACGTCACTATGAAGCATGTGTTGCAGGCTGGAGTGCAGGTGGCTGTGCAGATGCTAAGGTTCCTCCCTCCCTGTCTTAGGAGCAGTGCTGGTGACTGTCTCCAGTGTACTAGGGTCTGTCTGAACTCTCTCTCTCACTCTCCCCTTTCGTTCTCTCTGCCAGCAGCACAGACAAGGCAAAGGGGTCAGCGACAGCACAAATGGCTGCTTGGTTTCGGATCACAGTCCCAGTGCTGGTGATTGTGGGTGGGACACAGGGAGGGGCAGGCTGGGGACGGCCATTGCTCAGTGCTGGGCTCCTGGGCCTGTGGCACACAGCCCACCTCTCCAGCCCACTGGCCACCAGCAGCATTTATAAGGTTCCGAGGGGACTCGGGAGAACTTGCGGCAAAGGCCACCAGGTATAGGGAATTCTGCCTCCGACACTGACCTGGTCCATGAATTTGGCAAGTTAATTAAATTAATATTTTTGAGGCATGTCACAATTTACAATATGTTTCCAAAAGTACTTTTGAATGAATCCTCTCAAACCTGCTGTGACATGTGGTTTAAGATATGATTATTCCTATTTAAGTGATGAAGAAGCTGAGGTTCAGGAAGACCAAGCGATCTGTCCAGAGGCACCGAGCCAAAGAGAACCAGCATCTGCTGCCCTCCAGCCCATCACTTCGCCACCCCTTGTAAATCAACTTCTCTGAGCCTGAGTTCCATCATCATTGACGTAATGGCAATTAACTGGGCCCTCCCTCTGTGTGCGGTCAACGTGTTACCTGTGTTATCTCAGTTAGTCATGTAATCCCTAAAACAACCTGTGGGCAGGAACTCTTATCCCTGTTCTACAGATGAGAGGCCTAGGGCTTAGAGAGATCAGAAACGGGCCCAGCCAAAGCCCACACTCAGCCACCTTGCTGTGTAACTTCCCACCGGTAATTGGAACGAATCTCCAACCACCTACCTTACAAGGTAATAGGTAAGGTAATTTTGGAAGCTAAAAGTAGATGGTAGATGTGAAAACACTTTTTGACAGTTAAACATAGGCGGCAGGAATACAAGGGAAAATAACCATCTCTACTCCTGCAGATCTGATACCATAACAAAGTCCAAACTAACTTCCAACGCACGGACGCAGCCACATGTCTTCACTGACAAAGTAGCAGAGACAGCCAGGTAAGAAGTTGCAAAGGGAGGGTGCTGGAGCCCAGAAGCACCGTCCTGGAGGACTTCCTGAAAGAGGTAAGTTTGCTTAACTTCCCGGCTATGAGGCAGGCAGAGCACATAAGAGAGGAGAAGCATTCCAAGCAGAAACACTGCCCTGTCCAGGGGAAGGCAGGCAGGGATGGAGATTCCGAGAGGGGTGCGTGCACGTGGGCAGTGCTGTGGAGACCCTCACAATGAGTGTGTGCACACGCATGCAGGCATGTAAGTGTGCACTGTGTGTAGGAGTGACACCCTCTGCGGGGTCACACCTGGTAGCTTCCACATTATCTTAAACACAGACCAAAACTCGTCTTCTGCTGAGCACTTTGCTGCCACGATCCTCTATCTCCCACAGAATCCAAATACTCTCTGCTCTTGGCGCGGGCTCCTGCTCTCTCTTGTGGGCCTTTTCCATGGACTTTTATGTCTCTGTTTATTTTGCGTGTTTCATGAGTGGCTCATGCCTTTAAAGGAAAAGCCCCAGCCACAGATTGGCCTGTCATTATAGCCCTTTGCCGGCCGCCAGCTGCCCTCACCCCGCTGCAGGGATGGGTGAGCCTGGGCTTTTAATTTGCTGTGACAGGAGATAATTGTTGCTTGAGTTTCCACCTCTGAAAATAAATCAGGGTGGTGCTCCCCAGCTGGGGATCCACAGAGACGAACTCAGCCCTGGGGCTTGTGCCAGCGGAGGCTTAGCCAGGCTGGGGCGGCCGGGCTCCGTGTCTCTCACCTCCTTTCCGTTTCTGGATTTCAAAACATAGAATTAGTGTTTTCTTTCAGAGTTCAAGATGGAAAAGTTAAAGAAGTTCAGGGAGACTTTCTGATAATGTATGCAAGAATTCTGGAGGTGGGCTTCGGTGACTTTCAGACTCTGGAGATACTAAACTCACCGCTCTGGCCTACACTCCAGTTGCAGCTCCATTCCAGTTCCAGCACATCAGGGGTGCCCACCAGGGCCATCCTCCATGACTTCTTTTCAAAATGTGGCATCATGCATAGAAATATCTGAGCACGCTTTCAGCAATCAAAGCACTCTGTACGGCAAGTCAGGTCATGGGTTTTTGGATACTGGGCCAGATCCTTCTCATCTCTAAAATGAGGTAACTGGAGACGACCTTCTAAGGTTCCTTCGAGAACAGGAGGACATTTATCTTGGACCACAGCTGACCTGAGTAGAAGGTATTATGAAGCCTGAGTGGGTGATACAAGTTCAAGTTGTATACAGATGTCTTGGAATTGAACATTTCAGCTCTGGCTTCGGACTAAGATAATACAGATGGAGAACCCAGCGGCAGGGAAGCTAGGAGTGGCGGAGGAGAATGAATCCATGAGGACACTGCCCCTTGCGCTCTGGGGCCCTGTAGAAGGTCCCCCCGTGCTCCAGGTCTCTGTTCAAGTCCTGTCTCTCTACTCATCAGCTGTGTGACCTTGGGAAGGTTACTTAACCTCTCTTAGTCTTCCCATTTATAACATGGGGAAGACAACAGATGTGCTTCACTGAGTTGTCATGAGGTTTTAAAATAGCATAAGTCATTCATGTAGCTCACTGAAAATTCTCGCCCTCCTTTTGGACACCTGCTAAGACTGCATTTCTCTAGTCCCTTGATGTGGAACTAGCCATGTGACTTGCTTGGGCCCACGGAGTGAGAGCAGAAGTGTTCTCTGTTGCTCTATGCAGAAGCGTTTACCAGCCAGGGGGAGGCACCCTAGAGCTCCCTTCTTCTTGCGTGGCTACTGGCACTGGCGGAAGCTCTGTTACTCCAGTTCAGCACATGAAGGAGTGTGGCGTGGAGCCCCCAGGCAACCTGCGCTGGACTTTTAATGAGATTGAGAAGTAAATGATTAGCTACGAAGATTTGGGGGTTGTTTGTTACCACAGCACAAACTAGCCTACCCTGACTATAACAGTATATACGAAGCACCTAGAAGAGCCTCTCGAACGAGGTAACCTCATAGTAAACGATAATTCCTGTCTTGATTCTTATGGCAAAGGCCAGGACCACCATCTTTTGAAGCAACCACACAGAATCTAGCACAGTTCTGAGCAAACGCTTGTATACTCTTTCATAGTAACACAAGATGAATTCAAAATCAGGCTGTCAGAACCAAGGGAAATATTGTGCCCAAGAAAAATGAAACTCTTTCCAGCATCCAGAGAGGGAGTACCACTATTTGCCCAAGGTGTAGAGCCAAGTCATTGTTGTGCTCCAGTTTTCGCCAGTCAGAAGGTAGTTCATAGAACAGCTTATTCCTGTCCCCATGTGAATGAAGTCATTTCTCAGGCATAAGCCTAATGCATCCTCAGCTTAGAGTAAGAGGTAAGAGATGCTGGGTACTGATTCCAATATTTGGTATTGGTTTACTTAGTGCAGACACCAAAGTCTTTTTTTGTGTCAATACGTGTCATAGGAATACTTTTCCTATTACACCCAGTAAATTATAAAGCTATTGGAATCTCAGTTACATTAGAGTAAAGGGAGCCATAATTAAAGAACCTAGTCATTCCTTCCTGGGAAGTCTCTGGCGACAAAGGAATGTATTCCAGGTAGGGAAGAGGCAAGGCAGGTAGAAGTTCAGAGCATGACCTTGGGTGCCCACAAGACACAGGTTTGCATCCCAGTTCCTTCATTTAACTATAAGATGGTAGATGTTCAAGAACTTAGAATTGTTCCTGACACCTGGACGTCTGTCAGTAAATAGAAAAGTGTCATCATATACAGTGGTTTGATTGATAATTTTTTGCATTTCTGTTATGGCTTTAGTCATTTATTCATTCAAAATATATTTGCTTCAAATTTCCCCAGTGCCATGATCACATTGAATCTTCCCAACAACTCTATAAGATTGGTAATATTGTTCTCATTTTATAAGTGATTAAAACCAGGCACAAAGGCAATAAGAATCTCAAGACGACACAGCTAGTTAAGTGGAAGAGTTGGGCTTTCAACCCAAATCTGAAATAAGGAGGTCCCACAGAGTTGTAGTCGATAGAGAAGTGAATCTTGGGAGCAAATTCCAAACTCTACGCAGCTCCTAGCAAAGGAGAAGCGTTTCTTCAATTCCACCCAGCCCACTCTTGAAGCCCAGTAAGTCTGAACTTGATGGGGATGTTTAATATAGAAAGGCATGCTGACGAGGAGTGTGTCATCTCCTGAACACAAATACCATCTGTGCAGGGAATGTGCGGTGAAATGGAGAAATGCATGTCATTAAAGAGTGTCTGACTCCCCTGGAGGCCATGCAGACCCCACGTGGCAGCTGAGGACCAGCACCCCACGCTTTCTAGTCCACGTGTCTCCAGGAGGAGGGTGTGACGCAGACCTCTACACCAACCCTTCCACACAAGCCTGAAGCTTTCCCAGGAAGTTAAACCCTCGGGCATCTTACCTTCTCATACCTTCATTACATCAGAAAGTGATTCTGTCCCAGAAAATCAACAACAACACGGTTGCGAGGGGTTTTCTGTTGCAGAGTCTAATTAACAGTGAACATAGAGAGTACAGAAGGATCACCAATATTTCCTGGACAAAAGGGGGCATGAAGGGCCAGGTTGTTTTATGAATGAGCTCATTTCCTCGATGAATGTAGTCTTTAAAGTTTGCTAGCTGCTGCCAAGCTGGAAAGTTGGGTGCACTGTAGTTTGTTACCATTCATTCATTCATTCATTCATTCAACTAATCTTGCTTGAGCACCCCTAGGCAGTGTGTCTAGGTTCTGTGAGGGAGGCAAAGGTGAATTCCCTGCCCTAGAGGAGCTTGCAGTCTGGCTGGGGAGAGAAGGGAGGTTCTAGAAAGCGAGGGCCTGTAACAGTGCTGGTTGTCCAGGAGCAAGGTGGACCCTGGGCTGGAAGACGACCGGAGCACTTGAGTCAGGTCTTTTCAAACTGCCTCCATTACTTGTAAGCCGATGCTCTCGTGGCATCCCCGGTTTTATACACGAGGATGAGGCACGTTACCATGAACACCTGCACTGCAGTGTCTCTTGGTCCTTGTCTGCGTGACTGCAGGACCCTGGTATTGCTGTAGGAGGCTCACTGCCTGGGGACCACTGGCGCCCTGAGTGTGCTCAGGGACAACTGGGCACATCCCCCAGCGAGAGCCCGGTGAGTGCGGGAGCTGGAGCCCGTGACAGAACCTTCTTCCCGGCCCCTGGCTGCTGCTCCCCCAGGTCCTGTAAGACGCTGCCTCTGTGTGCAGCACAAAAATGCAAAGACTACCCTTTCCTCCCAAATCTCTCCAGATCCTTCATCACTAGAGTGACTCCCCCACCCCAGGGCTCAGCCTGTGGTGCCTGTGGGGACAGAAGACCCCAGACTGGTCCCTTTCCTCTGCCTGTTTAAGCACAGACTCTTTCTTCAACCAATACAAAATGGCCTTCGACTGATTCCTTCCACTAATGCCTGGGACTGGGGAAGTGTGGCCCCTGAGTGGGGCTCCACGGTTCAGCAACCAGGGAAAGCTGGGGAGCAGTGAATGCCAACCAGAGGGGACCCCAGAACAGCAGGCCTGAGCCAGGACTGTCAGAACGGGGGCTGTCACTGGGCCCTGTGGCCACCCTCGTTCCCCATCCTGGGGGATGTGCCCCGCTGGCCTTGCTGCACAGCCTGTGGACTCACGCTTTCCTGGTGCTGCATTTACACGTCCTGGCCAAGGGTGCAGGACAGAACCATGGCCAGTGTCAGCTGGCCACCTGGAAACGTGAGGGAAGTTCTCAGGGATGTCAGTGAAGGGGTTGGAGAGGCTGAAACTTCCGCCGAACTGACTTAGGCCGGCACAGCAAGCTTCCCCTTGTGCCACCGGGTCTTCTCTGGAAAGACAGCTGTGTAAAGCGCAGCCCGATACTCACTGACTTGATTGAGCTGGTGTCTGCAGGGAAATCACAGTCGGTTTGAATGGACTAATCAAGACCTATGACCCGCTGTCTGCACTAATAGCCGCCTTCCCAGAGATCAAAGCCACGTGGCTGTGCACACAGACTCTCAGCTGCTGTTCCTGCACCCTTTCTGACGGGAGTGATTTATCACTGGATGTCACAGTCAGCTCCGTGTCTTCTTACTTCAGCTATCTGGTAGTGCACTGTAAGTATTAGATGATTTAACTGCTTGAGCCCATGCTTCATCTGCCTTATAAACAACCCTATGATTTTTAAAAAAGGGGGGGGGGGTCTTCATAGGAGGGTCTACGAAACGGAAAGAGGCAATGTTCACTTACTCTCGTCTTCCTTTGACCCAGCAATAGACACACATGTTGTGACAAGGAAGTGCTGTGCCTGGCTTGGATGAAATGGAGCTGAGTGGAGGTGCAGGGGTGTGTGTGTGTGTGTGTGTGTGTGTGTGTGGTGTGGAACAGCAGAGGTCCTTTGGCACCATTTCTCAGAGGAGGAAGCTCTGGGGCACAGGCTCCTGTCTCTGGGTTCACCCTCTATTTATGGGAAGAATTCCCATGGGCCCCCACAGACAGAGAAACCTCTAGGGCAAGGCCCAGATGTCAGGGCTTCTGTGACCTCCTTGCTAACCCCAGAGAACGAGCTATGGTCTGAGCATTCGGATCTCTTTCTAGGCTGCCCCTGCCGGGAAGAATACCTGTTCTGAGTCTGTATGGGCCCTCCACATCCAGGTGGCTGGGCACTCGGCTGGGGCCGGGCATGTGGGCAGCAGCTCAGTGGAGGAGGCTGGCAGACCAGCTTTCCTGGTGGCTATGACCACAAACCCCCTGGGAGCTCCACGGTGTTCACCTTGTCCCCAGACCACACTGCCACCTCGTGGGTTTCCCAAATGCCACCCCAACTCTCACACTGAGGACAGCCTTCTCACCTTTGCCCTGCCACCTGATGTCCAGGGCCTGACCTGGCCTGCCTGGCCCCATCCTGATAGAACCTTCCCCATAGTGCATATTTAGCCATCTGGACCAGCAGGCCACCAGGTGCGTTCCAAAGGGACTGCCTGGCATCTAGTAGCAGCTCAATAAATGTTTGGTGAATGAATGAATGCATGCATGCTGAAATTCCAGCTCTGCTTTCTCCCTACTCAGGCTGGGAGGGTGAGCCACCCACCACCCACTCCAGCCTGAAGACCCTGGGAGAAGAGACCAGAATCATTGGAGCAAGAGGAGGCTCCTTGCTCTGGACACTTTCTTCAGTGCTGCTGCCCTAGGGTGGAGCAAGACTCACATGAGGATGGGGGAGAAAGAACCATCCATTTCCTGGGAAGCCCTGGCTAAGTGCAAGCAGCCTCAGGGTTTCTCATTCGAGCATGGGACGCGTTAATGATAAAGAGCACAAGTGATGAGCGCTTGCCCGACTCTCAGAGCTCCCAGACTGGTTGTCTGTGATGGGCTGTTCCACCTGACTAAGTGATCCCTGCAACTGTCACTGAGGTTCAGGGGCAAAGGGGCTTCCACACACCCAGAGATCATCCGCAAGAATTAACTTGCTACACTCACAATGTCCAGGATAAGGTTAGTAGTGCCCCAGGCGTCTGACAATAAGCCTGGTCAGTCCACCTTGAAGAACGAGCTTCAGGGAAGCTGAGGCTGGAGGGGGGATGTGTTAGGCCAGGCATCTCCTGGATCCTTCAGAGTCTGACAAGTACCGGAGATGGAAAGGGGGTTTGGTGGGGTCACAGTCAATCACAGGGCCGCAGTACAACCCAAGTGTCCCTGACTTCTAAAAATAAGTTTGCAAGCCCTGCCGGTTTAACTCAGTGGTTAGAGCATCGGCCCGCAGACCAAAGGGTCATGGGTTTGATTCTCAGTCAAAGGTACGTACCTGGGTTGCAGATTTGATCCCCATTCCGGTCCAGGTCATGCCATGCGGGAGGCAACCAATTGATGTCTCTCTCACATCAATGTTTCTCTCTCTCTCTCCCCCTTTCTCTCCCTCCCTCCTTCCCTCCCTCCCTCTCTTCCATTCTAACTAAAAAGTAATTAAAATATTATCGGGTGAAGATTAACAACAAAAACAATAACTAAAATAAAATAAAAATTAGTTGGCAAGACAAATAGCCCAGAAGAGTGCCTAGCCATGGCAGGGCCTCAATAAATAGTTGTTGATGGACTGACACGGCGTTGTGCCCAGTGGCCTGGGTGCCTGTTGGTGTGTCGCCATGTTCCCAGAGGCCTAGGTGGATCCCAGCCATGATTCCAACCCACCCAGGTGGCCTCCCCACTTCAGACACCCATGGCCCAGGTTGGCCAGAAGAGAAGCTCTGAACAGTCACTTGACTGTGTTTTGATGCTAAAAAGAGCAAACCCTGACCAGTAGCTCAGAAGCAATCTCTCTCCCTGTGGACAAGTGGGCTCTGCACTGAGAAATGAGCCTCTTCCGCCCTGGCCGGTTTGGCTCAGCGGTTAGAGCGTCGGCCTGCGGTCTGGAGAGACCCGGGTTCGGATCCCGCTAAGGGCACGTACTTCGGTTGCAGTTTGTCCCCGGCCCTGGTTGGTTGTGCGGGTGGCAGCCACTCGATGTGTCCCTTCACGTCGATGTTTCTCTCTCTCTCTCTCCCTCCCACTCTATCTGTACAAAAAATGGAAAAATATCCTCGGGTGAGGATAAAAAAAAAAAAAAAAAAGAAATGAGCCTCTTCCTTGTCCCCAGGTCTGTAGGCAGATGCCTC